ATCCAGACAGACCATTCTGCACACAGAAGACTCGCCTCCTTTGCCAAATTCACAAAATGTGTGTTTCTTTGTTTGTCTGATTTATAGGCTGCCTTTCTCCTGGTAAGAGGACTCAAGGTGGCTCACAGTATGAAAAAGAAAACACAGTAAAATATACATTAAAAACAATTGAACTATAAACCATTTACATACAATTCAATAATTAAAAACAGACACAATGTTAAAAACTACTTTAACTTTTTAAAAAATGGCATTCAGGGACTCAGTCATGATTGATAAAAGCCTGCCTGAAAAGGTGGGTCTTCAGCTGTCAGTGGAAGGACAGAAGGGAGAGGACTGGCCTGATCTCCTGAGGGAGAACATTCCATAATGTTGGAATAGTGACAGAGAAGATATTCTCTTGTGTCTCCATCAACCTCAAATCATGCAGGATACCTATGTGCAACAAATCCTACATGGTCTCATTTAAATGTTACTCAAATTCTCTAATTTATGAACTTCTTTTTATGTGGTGAAGGGACGGATCTCAACTTTTTGAATGCTCACTACCTGTGTCAATAAAGTATTTGTGTTTTGGAAGCTTGTTACCAGGTTTTGATACACACCTATCACTCCACTTTATTCCTGATACTTCTCTTGTCCCATTCCCATCCCACCACCACCACTGTAGGTAAATGTGTGGCCCATATTTGTGGCTCCATATGTCTGCAGAAGGGGACTGTAATCCATGAAACCTCACACTGAATTAGCTACGTTAGCCTCACAGGTCACAATAGTATGGTTTGTTCGTTTTTCCCATGAAGCACACCTACATGGAGATAAGCCTACAGAACTTACTTCTAAGAAAACACCCACATGGCTGCATGGCTTAGTTTTCTCCATATTTTTTATTATTATTATTATTTATTTAATTTATATCCCACCCATTTAGACCGAAGTGTACTCTGGGCGGCTAACAACAATATTAAAATAAAACAATAATATTAATACACTAGAGCAGTGGAGGCAAACCTTTTTCGGCTCGAGTGCCCAAAATGAGGGGGTGGGGAAGAAACTAGTGGTTGCCGTGCTGCCCGGAAGACCAGAACTGGAACAGGAAGTGGCAGTTTCAGGCGGAATCATGGGGATGGACAGGAAGTTAAAGGGGGAATCATGGGGACGGACAAAAAGTTAAAGGGGGAATCATGGGGACAGAAAGGAAGTTAGAAGACCCAGAACAGGAAGAGAGACGGAGAATCCCAGCTGCAGCCACTTCAAAAGATTTGTTTCCACAAGGGTGGGTGGGTTGACCGCTCACTCGTGTGCCAGAAGAAAGGGCTTTGCGTGCCATAGGTTCGCTATCACTGCACTGGAGAATGGCAAAATAAGTTAGGTATCAAAAGGAGGGAAAGCCTGTCTGAAGAGCCAGGTCTTAAGTTGGCTCTTAAAAATGCCCAGCGGGGGAGCCAGACAAATTTCAGGGGGGGGGATTATTCCAGAGCCGAGGGGCCACGGCCGAGAAGGCCTGCTTTCTTGTTCTTTCTCTTCGGGCCTCCCTTGGTGTTAGGCCCCTCAACTGCCTCTCCTGGCTAGAACAAGTGATACTAGGTGCGAGAAGGCATTCTGCCAGATATTGAGGTCCTAAACCATTTAGGGCTTTATATGTCATCGTTAATACTTTGAAATCAATGCAGAAATGAAGAGGTAGCCAATGCAAGGCTGCCAGAGTGGGGGAGATATGTTGATGTTTTCTCACCCCAGTAAGAAGTCTGGCCACCGCATTCTGCACCATTTGAAGCTTCTGCATCAATCTCAAAGGTAGCCCCACGTCAAGCACAATACAGTAGTCTAATCTCAAGATGACGAGCGCATGGACCAGAGTGGTGAGGCCCCGACACCAAGATAGGGACGCAGCTGGGTGATCCGCCAAATATGGAAACAGGCGGTACAGACCACTGATGCCAGCTGGGTCTCCAAGGTAAGCGCCAGGTCAATATGTACCCCCAAGCTGCAAACCTCAGTCTTCATGGTGAGAGCCACACACACACCCCCGAAAGTGAGGGAGTTTCCCAAACCACCATTGTCTGGGCCACCCAGCCTAAGGACCTCCGTCTTGTCCGGGTTCAGCCTCGGACCATTTCCCTGCATCCATCCCAGTACGGCATCCAGACAGCACTGAAGGGAGGGAACGGCATCCACTGTTGTAGGAAAAAAGGAGATGTAGAGCTGGGTGTCATCAGTGAACTGATGACACGAAGCCCCACAGATGACCTGGCCCAGTGGCCTCATGTAGATATTAAACAGCATTGGGGAGATAATCAAGCCCTGCGGAACCCCACAATTGAGATTCCACAGAGCCGATCCACTGTCCCCAAGCTGTACTCTCTGGGGATGGTCCTCCAAGGAGGATGAAAGCCAGGCTAGCGCCAGACCACCAATTCCCAGCTCGGAGAGCCTCCCCAAGAGGATACCATGGTCGACGGTATCGAAGGCGGCTGAGATATCAAGAAGGACCAACAGAGACACTTTGCCCCTGTCGGCCTCCCTCAGCAGGTCATCAAACAGGGCGACTAATGCCGTTTCCATACCGTGGCGCAGCCTGAAGCCAGACTGAAACAGATCCAGGGTGTTGGTTTCATCCAGAAAGGCCTGAAGCTGGTCAGCCACCACCCTCTCCATCACTTTACTAAGGAAAGAAACATTGGCAATGGGCCTATAATTGCCAATATCATCCGACGCCAGATTTGGTTTCTTCCTAATGGGCCTAATGAGTGTCTCCTTGAGAGACCCATTAATTACTGCAGTTGCCCATTTGGTTGTTGTAGGCCTGGCTGCTTTGATTAGCCAGGCCAGGCAAGGGTCAAATGAGGAGGTAGTGAAAAATTTAGAATGGATACACTTACATGTAACCATAATTACTATGAAGCTTAAGAGGCAATACAAAGCAGCTGGAGATTGAATTAAGAAATAAAAATTATTGTGTTTAGCTCTTCATTTTCTTACAGAGTTCTTTGACTAGTTCTTCCATCAGGGAAGAAGAGGGTTGCTATACAGTTTAAAATTCATAGCTCTATTTGAATGTTATTCGCTCTGTTGTCACTGGAGCAAATTGCATGTGCTGGTCCTAGTCCTAATATCCTATCGCTCTACTGACCCCTATCCAACAAGGCCGTGCGCTAGATGCATGCTTGTAGAAGGGGACACACACATACCAACCTTCTCCTCCAATTTCACGCAGCTTCCAATTGTGGGGAGAGCCTATATATGACCAGCAGGCTTCCGTGTGGACAATGTGTTGGGGATGGTGTACTAAGAAGAGTGAGATGCAATGGAAGGAAGCGTGCCTGCCTCACTTTGTGGAACAAGCACTTAGTAATACAGAGAAAACTGACATATTCAGACACTTTTCTTATGCAACAAATCAAGAGGACTATGCTGGGTAGCTTGGCCCCTCACATCACCCTGCTCAGAAATCCCTCTCCCATCACAACACCAACACAAGTTGCATGGCAATCTGCAGTGAGGAGACATTCAGGCATTCAATTATATGCATGAAGACCCTCCTCGCCTGTGGGCTTTCAAGTCTGTACAAATGCACAGAGTTCGGAAGAGGGACTTGTAAGCACTAACTCGAGGGCAGAGCTACTCAGTGCACTCTCGCCTCCCTATGTTGGAAGTATAGGCCCTTGAGATGAATCTCTTTCAGCCCTGGAGCTAAAATCAACTCCAAATGGATTCTTAGAGTTTCTATTCCACCGGTAGGCAGGGCCTAAATCTGACAAATGACAACCATCTTATTTTAGCTTACAGCCTTTACTGACAGTAACTATGTCTCAGGACAGTGGTTCTCAACCTTCAGTCCCCAGATGTTCTTAGACAACAACTCCCAGAAATCCTGGCCAGCACAGCTAGCGAAGAAGACTTCTGGAAATTCTAGTCCAAGAACATCTGCAGACCCACGGTTGGGAACTACCACCTTAGGAAATCCATCTAATTCTTTCGTAATGGTAAGGGAAAACATATAAAAACTGGCTAACTACCAAATAGGAAAGGGAGAGTGGCCATCTGGGGAAACCCAATGAACTAGACCAGAACTCTAGAGGCGCCCTTGGACCTAAGATTCCCTGTCCCAGTTCAGTGCCTAAACAAATCTCGCAGCACTCAAATATGGTTATAGTAGATACTATAAACAACAGGTTCCCTGTCCCAGTTCAGTGCCTAAACAAATTTTGCAGCACTCAAATACAGTGGGGTCTTGACTTGAGAACTTAATCCGTATTGGAAGGCGGTTCTCAAGTCAAAACGTCTGTAAGTCAAGTCTCCATTGACCTACAGTGCATTGAAAACCGATTAATCCCGTAACAGGCCGTTTTTGTTCCATTTTGGTTTTTTTCTGGTCTGTAAGTCAAATCTCAGTCTGCAAGTCAAACCTAAATTTTGCGGCCAGAGAAGTCTGTAACTCAAAAAGTCTGTAAGTCAAGCCGTCTGTAAGTCAAGGGTCCACTGTATGGTTATAGTAGATCCTATAAAAAACAGGCTCAACATACATCATACAGTATGTTGAATTATAACACAAAAAATCCTAGTAGACTTTATTCAAATCTGCTCTGTGTATTTGTGTGTATATTTCTTCCACTCCAAGGTAATGAGAGCACTCCAAAGTGATGTTTGCATTAGCAATGTAACCCAAAGTTCTTCAGTGTGCTAAAACTTAATTGCTCTGCAGTTTCACAATATAAATACAGTAAAGAGCAAGGGGGGGAGAGAAGCAATCAACTGCTAGCAATCAACAGCAAAAAGAATACCACAAGAAAAATATCTGCTTAGCTTGTCACCATAATATATATATATCCCATTCAAAATAGCTTTAATTTCACTAGGATGAAATTAAAGGTCTGGCTAGGCAGTTTTCAAAGTACATGAGTGACTTTCTGTGTCAAATTAAGAGCAAACTACTGAGCACAGCCCTTCTGCCCCCCCTCCAAGCCACTTGTCCCCTTGAAGTTCCTTTATATTCTCACCTTAGGGTAGAATGTCTGCTAGAGCGGGAAATACTATTGCCAACAGGAGAGGGTAAATTGCTCCCTCGATGCAGATCTTCAATGGACCGGCTCCAAGGTTTAGATTTGTCCACCGAGTTTTCCATATTGTTTTCCAAGCTTTCAAAATCAAAGCTGGAAAGAAACAGACATTTCAGTGCAGGTAGGCTAAAAACCCCGAAGAGTGAGGCTGAGCAAGAGGAAAATTAAAAGTGTTTTCTCCTCTTTGCCGCTTAACATTGTGCAGATGCGCTACATCCCAACAGATTACAGTCAACGATAAAGTGACAGAGCGCACTGTAACACATTTCCCCTTGAGCTGAAAGGAAGTGCTGGTTTCACGTACATTTCACAGTAAATTTGGATCTTGAGAAATGGGAAAAGGGCAGGTCAAGGAAAGTTTTTCACTTTTCCTGACTTCTCAATCTGTTACAAGTCAGCTCTTCTGTGCTGTGATACAGATGGAATCTCAGACTCTTTTTATTCAGTTTCTTTTAATAAATCAGTAAGCTGATGTGCTGTAATTTAGTCTCCACTCAACACACAAATGAGTCGCTAACACAATACAGTGGCCAAGACAAAATTCTCACCATGTATAACACACTGGGGTAATCATAACAGATATTTGTTTTGTTTATTTTCTAACCCTCCAATACACCACATTTCAAAAGGAAAGGCGTCTTCCCCTTTCTGGTATATTCTGAAGTTCTCCTACAAGTTACCACGCAGCAAGTAAAAGGACTTGCTCTCGCTTCTATGTCAGGCATAAAAGTCTTTAAAGTATGGACATGTTCCTGCCTCTTATCTCTGCAACAATACCCTTCAAAAATGTGCACATTTTGATTACAAACTTTATTCTGATTGAAATAAAATCTTAGTCATGTCTTTTGTAAGCAACAAAAATAAACTGTTATGCATGTCCAGTCTAAAAATAAAATCCCGGTCATCTTAAAACCTGCCGCCTTGGTGCAGACAAAACCACAAATAAAACAGAAGTTACTCTGCCTGGTATTGCCTTCATGATTCTTCCATAGGCAATGAGGGAAATGAGGCACTTCCTTACCCTCATAAGCAGAAGAACCACATGACGAGGGGGAGGGGGTGCCAAATGGGAAGCTATTACATGCAGCATTCGCATGCCTCTTCCCATTCTTCTTGCAGCAATCAGGACCCTCCCACCATTGTACTGCAGACATTCTCAGGATTTAATCAAACATGAGAGACAAAAGCCAGGAAAGCAGAAACATGAAGAAGATGCGTTTCTGTTTTCTGCAACTTTGAAAGTAGAACCTAGAAGTTTTCTCTGCGGCAAGACTGGGACCGCTCTGCACCTAAGATACAAAGACTCTTTTTTTCAAGGCAGAGTAAGGAAAAGGCCTATTCTGGAGAGATGGTGACAGAGCAGTGTTAGGGACCATATTTTGCATCCTAACGGCCCCATGTTCACTCCCTAACATTTTCCATCAAAAGAGTCTCATGATGCCCATCGAGGAACTCGATCCATGTTTTCAGGGCTTTCAGCAACCTCCACCACCCCGCCCCGCAAACCTCCAAGCACCCTTCCTGAATTTGTGTAAACCGTGCCTTACTTACGTGACTGCATATTGTGCAAAGGACAAATATTCCACCAACACATCCAGGCCTTTGTTTTCTTCATTCAAAAACTCCCTGACCCATCTGTCAGGAAAAAAAAATCAGTATAAGAGTTCAGTTTTTATTTTATCTAGGAAAGGATTTTCACTGAAAAGTCTCCCATTCATTACAGCAGGAAGAAATACTGACCATTTTTCCCTGCACAGCAAGGAATCTAAGAGTGCAACCTAAAGCCTAAGGCCACTGCAAATGTCCAGGACTGATCCTGACATCCTAGGTAAGATTTGAGGGCACCATTACAGCCTAGGATAACAAGTTGTTTTGTTCTGTTATAACTTTGCAACTTGGGAGTCTGTATCCAAATGCCATTTGCATTTTCTCTCCGGCACGCTCAGATTATTTTACCATCTCAATACATAAATATAATGCCTCTGCAAAGGATTAACTTTATTGCTTGGGAAAGCCTGGAAATGCACTTAAAGAGAATGGCACCCAGTTAGTCAAACAATAACGTGGAAGCAAAACCATGCAAGCAAGATATAACTGTCAACACAAAGGAGGGCAGCACTATGCATGGCTACAGGTCTGGAGGCAGCCACTGGATTTGTCTCTGAGCCTGGATGCCCAGGTTTCGGCAGCTGGCCAGAAGTGCATTTGCTCATTTATAACCAGTGTGCCAGCTACACCCATTCCTGGAGAGGTCTGATCTGGACACAATGACACTTGCCTTAGTTACGTGCTAGCTGGATTACTGTAACATGCTCTACATGGGGCTGCCAATGGAAAGTGTCAAGAAATCCAGCAGCCAGATGGCTGACTGGGGTTGGTTACAAGGATGACATAACCTCCCTAGTACAGCAGCTACACTGGCTGCCGATCCGTTTCTGGGCACATTCCAAAGTGCTGGTTCTAACCTATAAAGGCCGCAACAGCATGGGTACAAGCATTTCAAAGACTGTGTCTCCCTTTATGAGCCTGCTCAGATATTAGGTGGGGGCATAGGAGAATCGCAACAGCATGGGTACAAGCATTTCAAAGACTGTGTCTCCCTTTATGAGCCTGCTGAGGTATTAGGTGGGGGCATAGGAGAAGACCTTCTCTGTTGCTGCTCCCAGACTTTGGAACATTCTCCCACAGGAAGCGAGACTAGCCCCATGTTTTGCAGTCCTTCTGCAAGCAGGCAAGCTTTCTCTCAGTGACTGGCTGCATGAGTGGGGGTTGTTTTTTTTAAATGGTTTGTTATGAATTACTCTTTTGAATGTGTTCTGAGTATGGATTTTGTTTTTTTTTTTAAATGGTTTGTTATGAATTACAGTACTCTTTTGAATGTGTTCTGAGTATGAATTTTGTTTACCATTTCTCAGAGTGGTATTTGTTCTTTTTAAATATTTGTATACTCACCGTTTTTGGCTTTGAATATTCTTTTAATGATCTAAGCCAGTGGTTCTTAACCTTGGGTTATTCAGGTGTTTTTGAACTGCAACTCCCAGAAAGGCCAGCCAGCACAGCTGGTGGTGAAGGCTTCTGGGAGTTGCAGTCCAAAAACACCTGAGTAACCCAAGGTTAAGAACCACTGATCTAAGCCACCTTGATGACCCAATAGGGCTCCCAAGCCATAGTCTAAGACTCTAACCACTATACCACACTGATACTTAATGTTTCCATCAACGTCTCACTCGTAGGCTGTGTCACTTATTTGTCTGTGAATGAGTTCAGGGCAGCAAAATACTTGGCCTTTCAGACCATTATCACCCACAGAACCACCACAACATCCAGTCTCTAGTCTGCAAACAGCATTTTTAAGGCTAAACAATCCAGAAAAAGTTCTCAGTCCCATTCCACTTCTATTTACTCTGAAGTAAATGCCACAGAGCTCAATGAAATTATCATCCTTTTAACTCGGCCCCAGTTCTAAAGCTCCAGGCAGTTCCAATAAATCAGGGACTGGTCAAAAAAGAACATAAAAAGCAGCTAAAAAAATCCAGAAATTTAGTGCCATCTACCACATAGTGATCACTCATTTTTTTAAAAAAAGAAGGCAAACATGAGGCAACATTTGCCTGAATATTAAAAAGAAATCACACACACTACTTCCACCTGGTAGTAAACTGATTACATTTCCCAGAAACGTATTTTCTAAGAACTTTCAACACACGGGAGCTTGTGATTTTATCATGTGGAAATGTAGCCAATTTTATTACATGAAAACTGAGACAGAACTCTGTCACATTTCTGTCAAAAATAAGGCCAATGTGAGTAAGGCCTGAGCAACCCATGAACACAAACGTTAATTCAGCAGAGGTCTGGATGCAAAACCCACTTGGGATCCAGTTACTTACACTACGATATTAAAGCACAATCTGCCTAACAATTGTAGATTATTCCCTGGTTCTTGACTAACAGAAGCTAAAAAAATTAATTTAAAATTCAAAAGGACTGCCAAGCAAAAGGGTTGTTTGTTTTCTTGTCTTATAGGACAATTAGAAGATGGATGAGATCAAGGAATACTTGGCTGTGGCAGATGTTTCACTACAAATGAAAGGACATTATTTAGTTTCTAAAACGATTCATGCATATAGGTACATATACACAACATGCAACCATTTACTCAAGCTAACACATACAGTGACCAAAAGAAGAAAAAAAGGGGGGGAAAATCCTTTCGCAGCAGAGACATAAAACTTCAGGATCTTAATCCATCTAGTAAAAGTGGCCATCTCCAGCCACAGGTGACATTGGCATCACATTTGGGTAATCTGATTCAAAAGGAGAAATTGTAGTCTCAGGGTATAAGAAAATAAATCCTTTATTTCAATTCAAAAGATTAATCTATTGGAACTTTTTTACAGATCAAATAAAGGAAAAAGATCTAACACAGATAAAAATCATCCCTGAAAAAGGCCATACATTTAGGCCAAACATGTTGAACAACTTTAAACTGAAATAAAGATGTATTTTCTTGCATCCTGAAACTGTAGTTTCTCCTTCTGAATCAGATTTGTCAGACACAGCATTTCCTTTTGGTCCTTTATCACATTTCGGTAAGCCAGAATCAATTTTGCTTGGAATTTAGCGGGGGAAAGTACTGTTTGAAGAAATATTGAGAAAATGATGGCATCCTAATAACTTCAATGGAATATTTGGTTTGGAAAGACATTCCTCAAATTTGGAGTTCAGTTGATGACAAGACGGATTCAACTGCTTAGAGACTTCATTGGCATGTCATCTCGAAGATAATGCTTAAATATTTGCTTCTCTACCGACTATGTATAAGAAATGTTGGCCTATACTTTTGGTATTTTATGGTCAATTTCATTTCAAACTGATGTTGCAAAAGGCGAGTAGGGGAAGAAGTAGAAGAGGGAGGGAGGGAGGAAAACTTCCTTATCAATGGGTCCTCAATGAAAAGTTCAGTAACAGTAGCTGAAGATCCATTTTATCTATCATGGGAATCTATTAAATATGCTAATTTAATCTACTGCAGCAACAAGGCTCTGAAGGCTTCACTGGAATCTTGTTGGGTCACCTCAGAATATGTCTCACAATTCTCAGTAGTACAAAAAAATTCATGGCAGGTATTCTGGAATTCCTTAGAAATCGAGTCAATTCAAACTAGCAAGCCACTCTCTTATTCAAATATTCAAATAGACAACTATTCAAATGTTTTTTTATCGGACTCATTAGCAGACAGAACTTTGCCAAACCTAATTTTGTATGGGTTATACCTAATGACATTTGTTCAAACATTATTAAAGTGTTTTTTTTTGGGGGGGGGGAGAACATAAAAGAGTACAGTACTTGCCCAATATGATTAGTTCGTAGAGAAATTTCTAGTTCTCGTAACACTTGTGTAGATTCTTGAACTCTTCTCCTAAATTTCTGAAATTTACAAGAGGAGATAATAATCCATGGATGCGATTATTTGATTAATAAGTATAGAAAACTTAATTTATTAAAACACATAATATATTTTAAAATAGAAATTTGGAAGAACCAGGCCACTAATCAGACAGTAGCAAGAGACACTTTCAAAAACAACAACTCTAGAAAAGTTCTCCTTTTCATTCATCTCTTTTCTCAAGGATAAAATATTGGGGACACTGGATAGTTCACACTGAGACTAACAGGAGGCCTCTGAGTCACACTCTTTCCCTTTTCTTCACCACATCATGCACCACTCTAATGTGAAGATGATGGGCAATGGAATGATCTGATGCAACTCCTTACCTCTGAGCGCAAACCTGCTATAAAGAATATAACAGTGTTTATACAGTAAGTTCTTAGTGTGAATCTTCTTTGAATTTTTAAAACTATTTTCCAAAATATAAGACTTTATAGTTATAGCAATAAAAACTGTGTGGGGCAAGTTGATTCCAACTTATGACAGCCCTTCTCAGGGTTTTCAAGATAGAGAGTACACAGAAGTGGTTTCCCATTCCCTCCTTCTGGGGGGCCTCCTGGGACTGTGCAGCTTGTCCAAGACGACACAGGCTGGCTCTTCTCCCAGGAGACACAGTGGGAAACTGAGTACCCAAATTTGGCTGGTCCGGCACCCAGGTCAATAACTCACTGAGCAATCCAAGACCTCCAAAAATTTGCTAGAGAAAGCAATGCATCAGGATGTGGATCATCATAACAATTCATATTCCCCTGATATTTAAACTCCACTTTTCTATAAATTGACCAGGTCCATGCATCTGATTAACAGCATGGAAGTTTAGGGAAATATCCTATGGCTCATATCCCTCATATCAATTTGAGATAAAACGGGAAGTGAAAAGAATCCAGCATTTTTATGTCAGTTCCTACCAGAGTTTGTTGCTATGTGCCTTCAAACTAGAACCAACTTAGAGTGACCTTAAGAAGGCTTTCAAAGTAAATGGGATGTTTAAGAAGTTGTTTTACTAGTTCTCCTCTCCCATTGAGTTTCCATGGCTGGGCAGATATTCAAACCCAGGCCTCCTGAGTCATAGTCCATTATTCTACTCGCTACACAACACTGGGTATCCCTCCTACTAGAGTAACTAAATCTAATTAGGTTGTTTCAGGATCAGCTGCTGGCCACTAGAAATAATAGCTAGATCTGCTTCAAGCAATATAAATGGCTCTCCTGGTATCAACCTCATACCAAGACAGCTTGCCTTTTATTTATTTTTACAGCACAAGTTTAAGTCAAGCAATTAGAGAAAAGGAAATCTTCCCTTTTTCAAACTTCATTGCAGATTCCCCAGAGGCAGGCAAATAAATCCTATGGGGATTTCTCCACGCTAAAATATGTATTAGCTGAAAGCCAGGCCATGTACACCATGGAAGACAACGTGACAGGCTAGCTAAGAGAAACTTTTTCAGGCACTTGTAGTCTAAGCTAGTTTTGAACTTGAGGCCAACACATGCTGTGGTCTGTAATCCATTAATAATTGTGGTGCACCACTTTACTCAACCACCACTAAAACTTCAACTTATGCCAGAAATCTATAACGTCTAAAATATATGTATATACATCCTTTGTCTACTGACCTGGAAGTCAACCTTCAATGCCCAGTCAGCCATACAGCAATAAAACAGGACACGTTTTCACTTTCAGAAAATGCATTTCTGAGCCCTGATGGGGCTGGCCTCTGTCTGTCTGTCTGTCTGTCTGTGTCTGTGTCTGTCTGTGTGTGTGTGTGTGTACACACACACACACACACACACTCATACATCATCATTGGAACGAACAGATAGGTTTATTCTTGGACTATACCACTTCTGACTACAGTTTGTTTGTTTATTTATGTTTGGGAGGAGAGGTTGAACAAAAAGAGCAGAGGTTGAAGAGGTACTTTGAAAATGTTATTAGTTACACTTCAAATTCCTTTACCAACAGAACCTGTCATTAGTTATTGCTATAGCTATCATTTTTAAAAATAACCCTTTACTTTCGCATTTCTCTAAAGTAACTAAAATAGTTATCTTCTTCTCTTGCATGAAGAGACACTGAATCCTACAACCCATTGAGCTGTGATATACAGTGCACTCTTCTGCTCATTTGCTATCATCTCAACACCCACACACAGTACTTGAAACATCCGCTATTTCTCATCTATTGTACAACAAGGCTATCCAAAATACAAACGTAACTGAATGTAACTGAGCTACTTTACAAAATAAGAGACATTTTTCCATGTCTCATATTCTTAACATAATCAACATAAATCTCAGCAGTGAATTGCCCCAGGTGAAGACGTTAACATAGACATTTGATGTTGCGCACTGAGCTGCTTAGCACACTATAGCACTGATTACCGGGCCTTCCTCACCTGCGACAATTTGCCACTCAGAATTACATCAGTTGAATTATGTTGCTGGGCTTAACTAATAACATTTGGTCATTAGGTTATCATCATATTGTAGAATAGCTGTACCATAATTTCTGATGGGATAATTAATTACTGGTGTAAAGGTAAAGGTTCCCCTTGACATTTAGTCCAGTCGTCTCCGACTCTACGGCGCGGTGTTCATCCTCATTTCCAAGCCATAAAGCCAGCATTTGTCCGTAGACAGTTTCTGTGGTCATGTGGCCAGCGCGACTAGACACAGAATGCCGTTACCTTCCCACCGTGGTGGTACCTATTTATCTACTCACATGTTTAAATGCTTTCGAACAGCTAGGTTGGCAGGAGCTGGGACAAGCGACGGGAGCTCACTCAGTTGCGTGGATTCGATCTTAGAACTGCTGGTCTTCTGACCTTGCAGCAGAAAGTCTACTGCTGTTTAACCCGCAGCGCCACCACATCCACTAATGGTACCTAGTTATTTACTAATAATTTCCAAACTCCATATGGAGGTGATACCTTTGTAGGCCAACCCAAATTGTATGAACAGTGTGTAGAAGCACACAAAAACAGACAAGCTTTTAGGAATAGTTTTTCTTCACCCAGCAAAAACTCTATTGACATTCCAAGCTCTGGAAAAGTATGCATGTCAACATGAAAACCCCTCTTCCTCAAAGGCTCCCTAAGATTTGAGTTTTATCAGCTCTGTTTTGTGTAGAGGACATTGGTACCATATGAACTGGTGGTACCATCTCCAGCATAAAGCGGTGCAATCCAAGAAAAGAACACTTTTCTACTTAATTTGGCTGATTTCACAAACTGTCCTCAAACGTAAAGTCTACTGAAAATGTTAAAAAAACCTCAGCAGCTCTTACCTTCCTTGTTACAGCTGGATCAAGATAGCCTTTTAATTTTTGTATATATGTATGAGGAGGGTTCTTGACTTGAAATCTTTCCTGTAGGGAAGAGAAGTAATCATTAGCCATTCAAACAGGCACAAGTCACGCATTACAGCTGGTGCCAAAGCTAAATATGCTACATTTCACTTGCTCCTCTCCTGCCTCTTCAATTAATATTTTATCTTCTTTTTCAATGTACCAGAAGCTAGAGTAAAGGCTCCTGAGACCAAAAACTCTGGAAGAAATAAGTGTGCTGTAATTAAAACATAGCCAGTGTGGTGTACTGAACAGAGCACTGAACTAGGCTTCAGGAGGCCTGGGTTCAAATTACTCCTTGGCCATGACATCTCACCAAGAGCGGGCAATGATAAACAATCCCAAGAACCTGTCACATACCTCAAAATTCTACTGGGGCCATCTAAAGTGAGCAGTTAACTTAAAAAAAATTCAACAGCAAAATTTAAAAAACCCACACACAGTTATACAGATAAAGAACTGTTCTGCTCTGTATCAACTTCACATAATAAATATGTGTTTTGAGGAATGAAGAGAGAGTTGGGAAGGGAAGGGATAAAACATGCCCTGCTATCGTTTTTATCATACACATTCTGAGTTTTTGCATTTTGAAGACCAGAAAGCATCTGATACAATAGTGGCCTCCCTTTTTCCACCTCCACGGAAGCTATAATCAGCCGTTGCAACTTTACACTTCATCTGTATATTTTTTTCCCTTTTACACAGCAAGACTTTCATCCTTGATCTATTAAAATATATTGAAACTTACTGACTTTTAGGATTTTTTTTCTTTTGACTGTATAGATCATAAGACGCTATGGGCTGTTCTGAAAGAAATGGTTGTGAGACTCATGGAGGAATAAGAAAAGATCACCCAGTGTAAGGATGTATCAAGATTATCCACACTCTGGATGGGCAATGAAGAAAGCTGGGGGGGGGGAACGACAATTTAATTGAACTATAGTGCTGGAAGAGAGCTTTGTGGATACCCTGTACTGCCTGCAAGACAAACAGGCGGGGCCTGGATCAACTCAAGCCTGAACTATCTCTGAAGGCAAAAATGACAAGACTGAGACTGTAGAAGGAGGGTAGCTGTATTAGTTTGTGCAAGCATTATAGGTGAAAACAAAATACTGTAAAAGGTAAAAATTTAAAAAAGACAAAAACAAAGTGGCACCTTAAAGACTAACTTTTATATTTTTTTAATATGAGCTTTTGTGGACAAGTCCACTTCATCAGACATGAGAGTTTTCTTTTATGTCTGAGGAAGGGTTCTTGTCCACTAATTTTTTTTCCACCTATAAAACTGAGTCTGTACTACTCTGGGCCCATCATGAGAAGGCAGGATTCTCTGAAAAAGACAATAATGCAGAGAAAAGTTGAAGGCAGCAGGAAAAGAGGTAGACCAAATATGAGATGGATTGACTCCCTAAAAAGAAACCACAGGTTCGAGTTTACAAGAGCTGAGCAGAGCTGTTGAGAACAGGCCATTTTGGAGTCCTACAATTTCCTCAGAAAGCACAATTACCTGTGTGACATTGATTAGGCTGGTATTAATCCCCAGCAGCCTCTGGCCAGGGCCATTTTAATAGTAGTAGTACACTGACAATTCAGCTCCCTCTCAAGAGAGATGAAAATAGTTCTTCCTTGTTCTGCATTACTGACTAAAGACTACCGTGTTCCATTGAGCTTTTTATGTTTAAGATTTTGATACTCTATAGTTTTAATAGCTGCTTGTAAACTTTATTGCTTGAGTTGTTTCTTCATTTTATGTGACTTTTTTGTGCTTTTACTACACATCGTGCTGAGGAACTGCTAGATGTAGGAGATACAATGCTACACATTGAATAAATAGAGGTTCTGTAAATGAGGACCTGATACAGCAAGACAAAAAGCACTAAAAAGAAACATAAAAATAGAAAACAATGCCATAAAGTAAAAGTTTAACTACAGATTCCACAGCCAAAAAACAAAACAAAACACCATATCTCCAAAATTCTGAAGTGCCCTGCTCCTCCCCCACTTCTATTTTTTTTATACTACCTAGTCTGATGAAGAATTCTGAAGAACCAAAAAGCTTGCACACTTTTGTGGAATTTTAATTTGTTCAATTTCCCAGCTGTAGATTTTAGCACTGCTTTGATGTGCAAATAATATTCAGTGTTGGTAACACTTCTATTTCCTACATAATTACTATGAAAATGCAATGAAAATAATGGACAGGAAACCTACCTATCTGTCCTTCAAAAGATAAAAAGATGGGACTAAGGGCGGAAGCCAACAGGTTCTGTGACATAACTTTGGACAGTAAAAATAATACACCACTTTTTGGCAGCAGTGGTGGATCCTAGGAGGGCACAGCTGACCCACGCAGCTACACTACAGTACTGTCCTAAGTTAATTCTTGGGACAACAAGACAAACACAACACTGTGCAGGCGCAGCACATTTGTCTCTCCTAAAGAGTCATTAAGTTTGTCTTATGTGATCAATTCCTAGTGTGGTGTTGTGGCTACAGTGATGGACTAGGACTCTGGAGCACAGGGTTTGAATCCCTGTTCAGCCATGGAAACTCACTGGGGGAGGGGAACTGGTAAAATCACACCTTAAATATCTCACCTTCAAAACTCTATTAGGGCAGCTATAAGTTGCTTCCAACTTGACGGCACAGAACACCCACACATGCTATTTAACTCACTGAACAAATCTCATTAAAATTCATTCCAAATACTGTATATAAATGCATACAGGATTGAGCTACAAACTTCGTTCTCCTATATCCACACATAGCACTACCTCTGAATGAATACACCAAAATACATCATCATCATCATCATCATCATCAGCCTCATCATCATCTATTCTGACTTATGGTGACACTTTTCAGGGTTTCCCAGCTAGAAAATACTCAGAAGTATTTACCCTTCCCTTCTTCTGGGGGAGAGCCCTGGGAATGTGCAGCTTGCCCAAGGCCACATAGGCTGGCTTTTCTCTCAGGAGGCACAGGAGGGAATCAAACTCCCAAACTCTAAGCCACTGAGCTATCCAGCCAGCATTCAAAATTAAGTGTCTTCTGGATAAAGATCCCCAAGCTCCAAAAAGATGATAAAGGTGAGCTAACTCACGTTTGCTTTCTTACGCCTTGAAGCATGTAATAAGGCTTTCCAAAACCTGTGTTTAAGTTTGTATGCTAATCTCATAACTAAACATTGTGGCAAAGTTTCCACCACCGGATAATGTTCCTGAACAGTATTCTCAATGTTTGCTTTTCTTCTGTAAATGTACACTACTTCCAAAATAATGTGTTATAACAACTCTTTATTATGTCCATTAAAACATCTTGGACATTAGTATTCTTACCTAAGAATACAACCTAAAATTAATACTTTGCAATGCTAAATAGTGATAACCATTTCCTATCTGAATACTGAAACAGAATACTCTGTTATTCCATTAAACCAATGACTCACAAATTAAACACCGATTATCGCCCACATATGTATGTACCCACTGGCACATAATATCTTACACACAGCTTTTTCTTTATCACAGCATTCAATATCTATCCCTACCTGAGTGTCTCCATAAAGGAAAACACCCCTAATAACTGGAAAAAACGTAAAGAGTATGGACCAAGATCATTTCCTACCAATATGGAGAAATACATTGACTTTGGAAATCCAAGCATGCAATTTACATTGTGAAAGGCAATGGCTAATAAATGCCCTATGTTTCATAAAAGGCACATTTTTGGAAATCATATGTTCTCCCTTCTTCATGACACAAAGCAATTTCTAATTTCGTTCAAAATGTTACAGGTGTGGCACAGCAAACCAACTCTCTAGAAAGACGTCATTTCTCCTTTTAGTCCACATGAACAACAACATGCTGAGGAAAGACTTGTGGTATGTCTTTAGCTTTACAGGCCACACAGAAGACATATGGAAGACACAACCAAGTTGAATGTTATTTAAATTTGAAACCAGCGTTTCAGAAGGTTTTACATTTTAAATCTTCATTAAAGGGAAAAAGTGGTGTTACATTAACTGCAGGCAAACTAAATACTAATGTTACTTTACATGGCCACTATTAAAGCTGGTGGGCATTTTAAGGGATGAAGTACAAAGTATTAAGCTTAACTTAAAATGTAGACAATAGAAGATTCTTAGCCATTTTACCTGGTCTGTTAATTTTTATTTTAAAGCACCTGATATTCCAGTCTTCAACTCAAAAGAAATCATAAACAATTTAAAAAATAGTACTGTTGGTCAGTAAACAGTTTTACGGAACAGAGGACAACAGGCCAGCAATACACAAAAATATTGTTTTTGTTTTGGTCGTTATCCTCTCCATTTTGGCAACATGTTCTAGAAGTGAACAAAATGTTCACCTCCTCCACATATCAGCCTCCTCCTCCCAAGAAAGTCTGATATCTCTTCCAAAATTGATGACTGTGGAGATCACATTACTCTGCTAGGAATATACTTTGCTTAAGCTTGTTTACCAGTGTCTGCAAGTCATTCCCTAGACTCTTACTCTGTATTTCCACCACCCCTCTTCAAGGTCCCTGCTCTCCTTTCTACTTGCAAAGGAAGATTTCTGAAAGATCTGGCATCTTACCATGGGTAAGGTAATATGAATATTGTGGTAGTCCGATATACATTCTCTGCAGCAACTTCTACGACCACACAGTTGGATAAGAGTGTAGCCATGGTTCCTGAATTTGCTGCTGGCCCTACCCATAGCCTCTCAGTTCACTCATACATTTGCCCAGATGAGTCAGTGCCTGTGAAAGGCCAAGACCATTCATGTACATGTGGCACCATTCCCTGAAGCATACATTTCTTTGACTAAATATGCAGGGAACTGCTCATTGAATCACAAATCTGGCAAGTATGAGCTATAAAATGCAATTGCTACTTACAAATTTATATTAAAAAGCATCATTCTCTTGCAGAATTCTCTTGAGTAGTCTGATATCTCTTCCAAAACTAATGGCTGCAGAGACCACATTACTCTACTGGGAATATACTTTGCTCAAAC